TCTGATGGGGTGTACACTGTGGGCAGCTCGTCAGCACCGGGGGCCCTGACCGGGCCAAAACACAGGGGCGGGGGGCAGCCATTAACCGGAACCACCAAACGCAACCTGTTTCCTGGCCCATCGCTATTGTCTCCATATGACGAACGCTGATGTTTGGCCCGCTCGAGCGGGCATCTTTCACAACCATACCAATAATGCAATGCTTGAGCTTCACTGCTGCATGAATACCTCTGTCACTACCCACCCTTACTGTTTTACCCCATACAGTTGTGGTCGAGATGGAGGTGGACATAGTGCAGCGTGCAATGAATAATCCAACCTTGCAGCCCAGTTCACCTGCAATCCTCATGAACACACAGTCCGCAAGCCAGAAGCCTGTTAGCCGCCAATGCTGGCATGTCGACCTCAGTGAGGGCCAGACTGGCTTCGTGGTGCTTGCAGCTGTGCAGCAATGTTCACTGCTCGTCTTCCCTGGCAGCCACAAGCAGGTGCAGGAGTACTGGCGGCTGCAGAAGCTACTGGAAATGGAGAAGATTGGGGAGGCCACTTTGAAGGCGTGCCTCTCCAGCAATTTTAACAGCGTTAAGGCTGTGCGGATCAACCTCGATCTGGGGGACATCCTTTTCATGTCTGGACACACCATTCATGCGGGAGACCGGGGCATTGACAAGCACCCCGCCCTGCGCATGCACTGGTATGTCACTGAGAAGAAACAGAAGAATGAAACCATGCAGATTGCTCTGTTTGGTGAGGACTTTGCCAGTAGATTCCAGTGATATGCCAGCAGTTAACTGGCAGTTAACTGCTGGCATATCACTGGAATCTTTGCCAGTAGGGAGGGCAAAGGACGGCAAGGGAATGCAAGGGAGGGCAAGGGAGGGCAAGGGAGGGCAAGGGAGGGCAAGGGAGGGCAAGGGAGGGCAAGGGAGGGCAAGGGAGGGCAAGGGAGGGCAAGGGAGGGCAGAGGAGGAAAGAGGAGAGCAAGAGACGGCAGAGGAGGGAAGTGGAGAGCAAGGGGCGGCAGAGGAGGGCATGAGAGGCCAAGGGAGGGCAAGGTATGGCAGAGGAGAACAGAGGAACGCAAGGGATGGCAGAGGAGGACAGAGGAGAGCAAGGGATGGCAGAGGAGAGCAAGAGAGGTCAAGGGTTGGCTGAGGAGAGCAGGAAATGGCAAGGGAGGCTACAATGTTGTGGACTCATAGGCCAGCAGTTGCTTGGTTGTGTATGCAGCAGGCATGAAGGTGGGGTTTGCATGCAAAACGTCGGGTTGTATGTGGTGGAGCAGGTCACTGGATATGAAGGGAGGATCTTGAATCTGAACATTGACATCTTTTCTTCTATCTTAAGCTCAGGGCCTACTTTAGGTGCAGCACGTTGTGTTGTAGTCACGAGAGACAGGATACAGATCATTCAACCTTG